ATTTTAAAATGGATTTAAATGACGAAATGTTTCTATAACAAAACTACAAAACAATTGGAAGAGAGAAATAAATGAATAACTGTTTATATAATGTGTTACAAGGTGTCAAAGAAAAAACACAGTACAATCAATTGGTACAGGCCAAAAATGTGTAAATGTGAATTGATCTCTTAGAGTTTGGGTCTTTCCCCATGGTGATTAAAAGCCTGTTTACCCGAGCCCCAGACAGAGGGCTGGCTACTACGGTTGAGTGGATGTGTAGAGAGAAGAGGTGATGGCTGTCCAAAATGCTGCCGGTGCCAAAAACTGGATGGTCCGCCGTAAGCCCAGCAACCTCACTCAGCGTCAGTGCCAAAGCCACACACACACACTCGCAGACGCAGACCAGCGCTCGGTAGGTCGGCCGTGCCAGAATCACCCCCAGGGTGGAGGGTACATTAACTAATTGCTCAGCCCGGCTTAGAGAGCACAACAGCACGAGCGTAGAGAGGAGTGGGAGAGGAGCCGGACATAAGGACTGAGGAGGAGGAGGGATGGAGAGCGGCATAATACAGAGAAAAGAGTGGTCACAGTGAGATGAATAAAAGAGAGGCTGAGAGACAGACAGACAGAAAGACGGACAGGGAGCTTGTTGACATGGGCATGAGTCCAATGCGGCATTAGGATTTGGACAATAGAGCGAGCTGCAAGGCTGTGTGTGTGTGTGTGTGTGTGTGTGTGTGTGTGTGTGTGTGTGTGTGTGTGTGTGTGTGTGTGTGTGTGTGTGTGTGTGTGTGTGAGTGTGTGTTATTCAGTTTGTTGTGTCTGGGACGATGAGCCAGTAGGGTATTGGAGGATAAGATTATAGGTCAGGTCAAAGAGAGCGAGAGACATGGGATTGGATAAAAAAATAAAAATAATAGAAAGGACCAAAATAAAAGAACAGCCCAAACAAACAGACACCCAAGAGACAAATCCACACACACACACACACACACACACACACACACACACACACACACACACACACACACACACACACACACACACACACAGGGAAGCAGGTATGGAGGCGAGGTGTGTGCACAGTTTGGAGCAGTAACACGTCTCTGTGCAGGTATACAGAGAGCCCTGTAGGCAGGTATGTTTAAATACAGTAGTGCTACTGTTGTTTGCAGTGAGCTAACACCGAGCACAGGCAGAGTCTGTTAGTCTGACCTGCAGTGGACTCAGGGTGCCCCATCAAAGAAGAGCTGACTCCGCAGGAATCTCAGGNCGTAGTACGTGTACGTCGTAGTCGTACGTAGTAGTAGTGTAGTGTGTGTGTGTGTGTGTGTGTGTGTGTGTGTGTGTGTGTGTGTGTGTGTGTGTGTGTGTGTGTGTGTGTGTGTGTGTGTGTGTATGTGTGTGTGTGTGTGTGTTGGTGTATTACCCATATTGTGTGACATGAATCTGTTTCCACTCTCCCTACTTTCTTATTATGTAGGTCAATCCATTTTAGTGCAATAACTTGATTGTTTTTGTCTTATTCTGAGAATGCACTACTTGCCTTGTTGACATTTGGTAGCAGAGTAAAGCATGGGCCAAGTAAGAACCCACTTCATTCTGGAGTGTATCAGACATTCAGTCAAAGTATTTTTCTCATCCGTTAACAATGCAAGATGAGGCATTTGGTTTTAGCGGAAGCACTGTATGTGCCCGCCAAGGTCCCTCCTTGTTAATGAATCTATTCTCAGTCCAAGGCTTTCTATTAGTTTTGTCTCAGTATCCCCTACACACCTTATAAGATAAGATATTTCTGGATTCATGGAAACACACACTGAGTATCCATGTATTATAATATTATAATTATATCTCGTCATACAATTTTCGGTAGCAAATGTAGAAAAAGGTAAAGATGTTTTTCTTCTTTCCCCCATTTATCCCTTAAAACTGAACTAGTATTTCCTTTAAGTTACACAGAACCCAATAATGAAGTGAGTGACTTTGTATTATTAACTTAAAATCCAACCACTCTTTTGACATAAGAAGGAAGTCCCTGATCATCTCATTTGTGATCAGTTTCTTTGACATCCACTTCTTTCTCTCACTGCAATGAGGCTGATCAATGAAACCAGGATACATCCTTTACCGTCAAACTAAAGCTGCCTGTGTGCGTTTGATAAATACTTTCTGATTTTATATTATATGCTACTTATTAGCTACATGGCCCTAACGTGTAAAGTTATACAAGCATTTGTACCAGTGCTTTTCACAAGTAGACTCTTGCAGGCCAGAGTAGCTGGAGTGATTCAACAACAACAAAAAGACATATCTGAGAAGAGATCAGGACGAACAGAAAGAGGAAAAGGAAAAGAGAGTTCACTGAAGAGACCAGGAGGGTCAGAGCAGGAGGAAGAGGAGGAGACGAAGAGACCAGGAGGGTCAGAGCAGGAGGAAGAGGAGGAGATGAAGAGACCAGGAGGGTCAGAGCAGGAGGAAGAGGAGGAGATGAAGACATGAATGTGAGGAATAAAGATGAAGTGTCAGAAAGAGGGCCAGAGGCAGGGATCAGGAGGCAGATGAAACTCCAGCCGGACCACATGCTATGCTCTTATTCTCCTTGTATACATATTCCATTACAGCAGCTCAATCCAGCTCTTAGTATTGACACATATGTATTGAAATGTGTTGCTGCACAGGTCACCTTTAGCTCTCTTAAGAGATTGGTGATGTCATTTGTGTACTTAATTATAACTAAGTACTTTGACTGTACTTACAGTAAACATAATTCTAGGGTATCATGAGTATTTTCTGCTGTTTTTTACTATATATGACTTAATTTGTCTGAACACCTTGTTTCTCTTGTGCATTAAGTAGACCCTCCAGAAAAACGCGATTCTGCGATCGCAGAATTTACCGCATAATCAGCAAAATGGCGCAGATTTTTTAAAAGGCCACATATTTATCAAAAGGCCGCATAATCCCCGCATTTTTCCACACAAAGTTGAGAAAAAAAAAGTTAACTCATCTTGATGTGAAGTAGTGATGATGATGACGCGACGTCATCAGCTCACGCATCACAGAAGGTAAACAACACCGTAGAGTGAACGTGTGGAACTCACACGAGAGAGAAAACACCAAGATGAAAAATCTGATCCATCTCATTTACCGACGAACATTTCTGCTAAAGACCGGGAAAAGCAGTACCCCGATGTCTTTCACGAACGTGGGGGGAAACTATTCTGCACCCCGTGCAACTGTGTGTTGGAGCCGTCTATGGTTGGAGCATAAGAGAAAATCCACGGTGACGACCCACTTTGATTCATTCAAATATTCGAAAATGCTTTCTGCTGCTGCGGACAAGAAAGCCAAACAAATCACGTTCACCGAGGCATCAACCTCCAAAACCCTTTCGAGGGCTACAAGAAACTAAGTGATTAGCCTACAAGATTGAAGCTGGTCAGATAACGAACGAGTGTATGTATGTATGTATGTATGTATGTATGTGTGAGTGTGTGAGTGTGCGAGCAAGATTAAAATATCCCCATTGCTTTTACAATAAATAAACATTGAATGTGTTTAATTGAATAGGAAAGGGGTTTAACGTTAATGGCAGGTTGTGTGTGAGAGAGAATAAATAAGACAGCCCAATATTTAAAAAAAAATCTATTATTTTTCGCAACTTTCCGCATATTTCGCAACTTCCCGCAATTTCACCGCATAAAATCACATAAAAACCCTACATGTTTAATCGCATAATCAAGGATTTTAGCCCGCATAATCAAGGATTTTTGCCCGCGTTTTTCTGGAGGGTCTATCTAAGAGGTTGACTAATCACAACAGAGCTAGCTTGCAATCAGAGCAGACTGGGATCTGGTTTCAGAAAAAGTATTAATAGCACAGTGTATAAATACTCTGTTACAAGGAAAAATCCTGTATTCATTTTTTACTTACAAAGTATAACAAATATTAGCATCAAAATAACCATTTAGTACTCGTTATGCAGAGTGGTATTACATCATGGATTATAATAAGTAATCCAATGATGTGAACATCATTTTAATTTTGGTAAAGGCGGGTCTAATTTGTATAACTTTGTATATTTCCAGGTGTTCCAATCCAAATTAGTACATCATAATTCATTTAGATTTGGCATTCATCATTTAAACCTGCAAAGTAACTTATGTTGTCAAATAAATGCAGAGAAGTGAAAAGTACAACATTTGCTTCCAACATGTAGTGGAGTAGAAGTATAAAAGTAGCGTAAAATGGAAATACTCAAGTAAAGTACAAGTCCCAAAATGGAAATACTCAAGTAAAGTACAAGTCCCAAAATGGAAATACTCAAGTAAAGTACAAGTCCCTTAAATGTGTATTTGTTCTTAAGTACAGCACTTGAGGCTATGTTCTTTCCACAACTGCATTAAACTTGTACGAGGATAAGACAATAAAACAACAGCCTTCCAATATAAAAAATACAGCTTCTTATTAAAAATGGAATTTCATTTGAGGGTTCAAACCTAAAATAGTTGTTATAGTCTAGTAACCTTTACTGAGGTACACATGAAAACCGTTATAGTTTCTCTTAAGAGATGCTCAAGTGTGATAAAGAGCAGTCATGTGGTGATACACTTCCAACATCACTGATAAGAGCCACATATTTGTTTTAAGTTTTTCTAAAAATTCTATATATTTTGACCCTCACTTCAGTTAGAACTTAGCCTGTTCAACAACTGCCTAGAAATGATTGTCTCGTATTCAACTTGATCGACATTGTTTTTGAATTCATATATGGCATTATAACAATGTTACATGCACAGTAGACATGTTTGAGTGTCCATAAAGGGGTATGACTTATATATAACGCAGTGAAAAACAAGGCCATAGTTGGTAACATGTTACGGTGAGTACAAAATAAACTGCTTGCCGTTCATATGGTTAAGCAATTAACATCTAAAGCACCTAACAAAGATAGCACCAGTAATGATCCAGGTGTGAGACAATGTGCACTATAAATAGCTATCTCGATGTAACCTTAGTTATATGAGCAAGTCTCTACCAGGCTGTACATCAAACTGTGAAAGAAAGAATATGAAACAGCCGCTGTCTGGAGTATAATGAAATATGGCTGGATCACGCCCTCTAGTGTTTCAGCAGTGATATCAATGGTTGAAAGATATGCTTTAGATATATCACAGGACAGATAAGAACCCATCGCACCAGGCATAAATCCACCATCACCTCCAGCAGGAAAACCACGCTAGAAAATATATTGCTATAACAATACAAATCCAGTGAGAAATACATATTATCCAGTATCTGTGTCTTAAGTGTATTTGTTTTACCAAAGCAGGATTTGGAACAAGTGAGATAAGGCATGCTCAAACAGAAGGAAAAATGGGTCCGTCACTGACTCTCTGACTGCTATCATTCTGGATTTGTGTTTTTTTTTCTTCTGATTATTAAACAGGTTAATCCCTGTAAAAAAAAATAAAAAAATAAAAAAAGTTATTAGCTTTTTTAACTAGTAAGAAAAGACCTGTAATCACATTAACGAGAGCAAAAGACTCACTTGAAATGTCACTGCGTCACATTAGTTTTTTCAGGCAAACTAACGTATACAAACATTTCATTTTTTGAAATATTTGGTTATTGGCACATCCCTAAAGTAAATAAAGAATGATCCACTCAACCAACATCGTATTAAAAGACATTTAACAAGTACGATATTATTTTGCTCCTGCAGTTTCTGATCTCACCTCCTCCTGCTCTCTCCTCTTCCAGCGCAGCTGAGCGTTAGTCGACGCCATCGCCTCGATCACAAAGGTGGTGGTCATGTAGCTGATGAGAGGAGAAAGGGTTAACAAGATGCTCAAAACATCTACCTTTTAAACCATCATCGCTTAATTTAAGATGATACATCTGTAAGTTTGATTTGAACACAATCAATATTTCACTGTTTGTGAGACACCTCAAATTTCTAAATACATACTAGATTGACTTTTCATTTAGCCTTTTAACTAACATTATGTTTTATATTTTGCCATTTAAAAATGTTTGTAAAATCATTAAAGAGCCTGTGACAGCATCCCAACAAATGTTGTGCAATTAAATATTGGGCTACTAGTCATCTCGAACCGTCAGTTTAAAAAAGAAGGTGCGATACCGTTCCGATAAATATCAATAATTTCGAACATCGCGGGGAAATTCCTTCGACTCATTTTGAAGTTTTGGGGGAAGCCGGAAGTGACGTCAATGCGGGAACGCTTCACTGTGCGGCAAGAGAGCCAAACACGGATAAAGTGTGTTGTCATGCGTAGAAATTGTGAATTACTGAGTTTAGGCACGTTAATAACGTTTTAATGAAGTTGACTACAGTATATTCATATTTGTCAGTGCTTTCATGTCAATTCGGCGAACATAAACATAGATGATTGTGGTGAAGATGATGATTAAATTAAGATTAAAAATCGGTAGTGAGAGTTGCTGAATTTCCTCCCGTAGGATGTGATATAAAAACAAAATCGATTATTTTTGTAGTTGTAAACTCAAGTGGATGAAACTAAACTAAACTATTAGTGCTTTCATGTCAATTCGGCGAACATATGATACATTAAATGATCGTGAGGATGATGATTAAAAATCCTTTGTTTGAGCCGGTCTGCATTTCCTGATGAGAAAACAAACCAATGCTTTTTGTAGTTGTAGTACACCAACGTGGATTAAACGTGTGGTTTTTTTAACCACGATGTTGGGGAAATTAATGGGTAAAAATGCACAGATTATTATTATTATTATATTATTCCCACTCCGATCGGGACACTAGGTCCACCGTTTCCCCGCAGCGAGGCTCCCCCCGTTGACAGTTTACGTGGGCTGGGCTGGGTGCAGTGGCAGACTGGCCATCGGGACGAATCCCGATGGGCCTGTACCGAAGTGGGCCGGTCGGATAAGTCACTAGCACATCCCCCACTCCAAAATCAGTTCAGTAACGGTTTTCAAGGGGACAATATTTACTCAAATTGATGGGTTTGGATGATGGGGGAAAACTCGTGTCACAGGCTCTTTAAGTAAAGCACCTTACTTATTGTTCATGAAATAGTTGAATATATTTAACCTTTTTTTTTCTTTCTCATATGTTATGTGTTATATGTGATTGTTACCTTCCGACCAAATCATGCAGTAAGTATAACTGTTAAAAAATTCAATCCAAACTTTTCACTTGGAAACACGAACATGATTGGACTTAAATAGGAATTCAGATGAATAAAGTATGTAAAATGTTTTAATTTAAAATGAGAATTTCAAGTGAAATTAACGCATTGTACAACACAGATAACAGCAAGCAATATGTAAGAAAGTGTATATTACAATATATATATAGTGGTGTTGTAGTACTAACAAAAATATGAATACTTCTGCATGTTTAAAACAAACATGTGTGTTGTTTACATACTATTTCTGAACATAAACTAAGAAAAAAGCAGACATAAGTGAAAGATATGGCCATTAAAACCAACACCCGCCCCACAAAAAAATAACCAGCACTTAAAGAGAACAATATCTGCATATTTGCGTATATATTTGCATTTGTCTTGTTGTTCTGAGTCTGTAAGTTGCTTTGGATAAAAGCATCAGCTTAATGGAATCAGATGTAATGCAAAACATTTCAGCCTTCAGCTCCATGTTTAAAATGTCTCTGTTGTTGCCCAAAGGACGGGCTAGAGGTGGTGCATGTGGGAAATGAAAAGCAGGTTGATGTGCAGAACAGAACTCACCTCATAAATCCTAAAAAGGAGATGAGTGATATGCTAACCACCCAACCTGCTGAGGCGAAGGCTTTGGGCATCGTCAGAGCTCCGGTCCCTACAATCAGATTGAACATATAGACCAGCCCCACCTGGAGAAGACGGATAAGAGGTGTAAAGACGAGTGGAATATGTTCGCAGACCTTTCATTTCCTATTGCATATTTGAAGAGGCCCTATTATACTTTTTAGGGTTTCCCTTTCCTATAGTGTGTTCTATATTTTTTTGTGCAAGTGAATGGTCTGCAAAGGCTAAAATCCCAAAGTGTGTGAGAGACTCTTTCTCCCACACACTTCACTTTCTCCCACACACTTCACAGTATGAGAAAAATAAAGACCTTTTTGAAGATTAACGCATGTAAACGTGTCACAGTAGAGGCAAAAAATACAAATATAAACCTGAACATGAGTATAACCGGGCCCCTTTAATGGTCTTTTGCCTAAATACAAAATGTAAAGCTCTGTTGTATGAGGAATAGTTGAGTGCCTTGTCAGATAAAGAATCAAATATTGCCAAGGAATGCAGGTGGGCAAGATAAGTTTAAGGAAGCAGCACTTCCTCCTATCTGGTAGTTCTTGACCAGGTCAGCATTGAAAATTTGATTTTATCTCAATGCTTTTTTATCTGGTTAAATAAAGGTTAAATAAAATAAAATAAAAGCAGAGTCTTTTAATGATTTAAAGCTTAAGCTCCCTGGAAAAAAATATTTTACCGGCAGAACTTAATGTTTGTGGTAAGTTATGCTGACGTGAGCAGTAAGGGACTTCGTAAAAACGGAGACCAGACCATAAAGAAGCCTGCTGTGTATAACAAGAAGGATGTGTAAGCAATTTAGCTTCCTCTTTACTGCACTTTCATACGCACCATCCCCACTCACAATGACATTACTCATTTAATGACACGAAGAAGGGTTCTTCAGAAAAATGCCCTTCTCCGTCTTTAGTGTTTGAAACATATTGATCAGTCAATTTAAGTGGCTCAATAAAACACAGATTAAAAGTTGAAGCCTCTGCAAGTAAACCGAGAAGAACACTATAACTTCGTACATCTTATTTCAAAGTAAAATAAGACTTTTAAAGAGCCTCAGTAAGGTGGACTTTGCATTCAATCATGCATCCACTGCAGTGTGTACTGTGCTCTAACTCAACATAAACAAATAGTGAAACAATCTCTGAACTTAAATAAAAACAGAAGTAAAACAGGAATTAAACTCATTATAAAAATATAATACTCACAAATGGAGAGTAGGGTTCCCCACTCTCTGTAATTCCACCTGGCATGGTTGATGACCCTGGTGTTCACCTGAAGGAAAAACAACATCCAGGAAGCTGAAACCACATACTTTTTCCTCTCTTTCAAGATCAACATTTATATTTACTCAAGGGCATTACCATATTAAGGAAAGTACAAGGTCTATTGAGAATAAAATAATGAGGAGAAAAGTTGTTGTTCAGTATCTCGTATGCAAAACGAACTCCACTCTTGCAATTTAGTGTTAATATTAACATTTGCAAAACAAAGGCGCATTTACTAAACATGATTCAACACATTTCTTAAACGTTAAGTAATACTTTTCCATTCGGCATACATATGATGTTTCTTTTACCCAATGTCTACAATGTGAAGTTCTGTGACAGGTATTGTGAATGCAAAATGCGAAAATTGATGCCCACATTTATTTAAGACAGTGTATAATGTGTCTATGTTCCGAGATAAAGACAACTTGTAAAAGCTAAAGTTGTACAAATATGTTTTAAGTTACTGTTGAGCTGCTATTTCCCTGCTAACATCCCAGCTAGCAGCACAGGTTAAAATAACGTTAGCTATCACAGAAAATACACATGTATAAAATATGTGTACGTGTTGTAAAATGCAAATATCAAAAGAAAAAGACTAGCAGAGAATGTGTCATTAATAAAAACAAAAGTAAACACTTCTCACCTTCCTTCTGCACGGAATATATTGCTAATCTTTCTTGGCTAGCAGGATGCTCCAAGCTCATGTGGATCTCTAGCTGAATGAACGCAGAGCTTAGCCACAGAGCTAAAATGAGCTGTGGCGTTGTTAAAAGGTCAAAAGGATGTCAGTATGAACCATAGTTTGGAGAAAAACTCTACCCACATATGCTAGCAAGGCTCTTCAACTCAGCTAACTGAAGCACCAAACTAAACCAGCTGACCTGATTAACAGACGTAAAGCTACCTCCCACACAAACTGACACTTCCGGTAGGCTACTGGCTTTCAAAATAAAAACTTCTCGTGATCTTTTCATTTAATTGGTGTTCAGCTTCTCAAAGAGGTTTTAATTGTTTGTTGTGTGAAGTTTGAAAAATACATTATCACCTCGTACAATGTGCATTTGATTTTGGACACGTAAATAAAGACCCTTTAAAACATTTTGAAAATGGTCAAACAATATTTAATAATGTTAATATTTACTGACGTGTGTTTTAGACGTTGTTTATCAAAATGATTGTTGTTATTATTTTGGAATTATTATTATTAATATTATTATTAATATTATTATTATTATTATTATTATTACCATTATTAAACATATCAGTAAGACTGGATGGTAGGCCTTTCATTTATCTGGCTAATAAAGACCTGGCTGATACATTATTGGATTTAAAAATAATTAACTGTTTGTTAGATTGACTATTAGATTGACGAACAGTGAAATTCATTGTGTGATAGAGGGGGACACACACACACACGGCCGTGGGAAGTAGGGGTGCTGAGGGTGCTGCAGCACCCCCTGGTGGAGGACAGGAGATCTGCACTTCCACAAGAATAAATACAAATATAATACAAATATAATACAAAAAAAACAAATTTTCAGCCAATTTTCAGCCCTTGATTGGTAAGCAACAATTTCAGTATTAAGTAAGATAACAGCCTTTTCACCCCCGGTTACTTTTCCATTTTGCCCAGTACGATGGGGCGCTGTAAGTGATGAAAGTGGGGGATGTTTGGGCTTATCAGGCACACGCATCACAGCCAGTGGGGGTTTCCCATATCCGCGGCCACACAACACGCTTCTTCTGCGATATGAAGCCCCTCTTAGTTTTTTCCACCTGCTGGGCCAGAGGGTAAAATGCTTTGGGTGAGCATAACTAGAGGGGATCAGCAACACAAGTGTGATTTGGTGGGTCTATGACTATCCTGGACAAATATAGGGGGGTTCATCTGGTCACTACAACTGGTCTGCCGGATTTGACCCTCTTTAGTTTTCAAGTGTGGCCCGATAAAATCTGTGGTGAAGCAACACTAGAGGGATCAGGCCCAACACCAGTGTGATTTTTGGTGAGTCCTATGACTAATTGGAAAAGATATAGGGGTGGTGTTCCACGCTCTACACCTGGTCGCCAAGAATGGGAACCCCCCTTAGTTTTCCCCTGCAGGGGGCCCAGATTAAATGCGTGGGGAGCAACCAAACTTTACAGGGGCTCGGCCCCAGTGGTGTTTTGGAGTTGTGACGTTCCTGAACAAAGTTGTAGGGGGGGTGCCATATTTGGCCGAGTACCTCTCCTGCTGCGTTTGTAGAGCATCAGACTTTCCCTATTTGACCCCAAAAAAAACCAGGAATACTGTTGAAAAGAAAACATAATAGTATAGCACAGAAATAAGATCAATAAACACTTTATTTTGGGCCCTTCAGCATTGCATGCAACCCCTTTAAAATACATAACAAAAAGAGGCATTAGATACAATGGTGGAGTGCACACGAGGAAAATACATTCAACTTAGACGATGAGCCGTTTACCATTTACTTTTTAGGCTTGCTAAATCCAGGTTCGTGTAATCCTATCTTACTGTCATCATATGCTACATCGGGATCAGCACTTTACAACGAGAGGTTTCAGAATGCTATACGACATAATGAACATATTACCTGGTCCTTGTCGTTCCGTGGAGGAGGGCTAGCAGGTTGGGCTTCACTCAACGGAGTTTGTTCCATGCAGATTGTGGACAATGAAAGGTCCTCAAACGAAGCCTCCCCGGCAATGAATGCCATTTTTAATCAGCCGTTGCGGTTTCGACGGGACATGAAATAATCCAGAGAGAAAACTATTACTCGACGACGCTCAACTCAGCGATGACGGCACGTTTGCGCGCCCGCG